AACCCCCATAAAAACCATAAACGGCCACCACCCCCCCCAAAGGAAAAATTGGCAAAAAAAAAAAAACCAAACCCCAAACGAATGAAAACAAAGGAAAACAACAACAGTTGGGCGATGCAGGTTCTGACAAAGGCAATAAATCATACTTTTCAAGGCTCTACCTATTCAAAATATGAAGATTCCACGAGAAATATGCTTCCTAATGTTGGTGAGATTCCTCTTACCTCATCCCCATACAATAATAATATGGTTCAACAAATCATTCAGAGAGAGATACAAATTTGCTCTAACATTGTAATATAATTTTCCCTCAGGATGCCTAGGAATAAATAGATTAAACTATATCAGTACAGAAGAATAAGAGGAAAAGATCTATGTTAATCAGCCCCATTGAGAGTTTTTTCATTTCAGCCACAGAAAAACATGAATAAAGTCCACAGTACATGTAACTATAGGGATTTCCTTATTTTGAAATTATTAGTTTTAATTTTAAAAATATATTAACATGATTAAAATAGTATTAGACCTAGCTAATGAGTTTATTTTTCTCCCCATGACCATAAACATATTAGTGCCAACTGACCATCAGTGCATAAGTGAGGAAGAGAACATTGGAGGGCCTCTTTCTGAAACGACAGGTTCCTTATTCACAACCTCTAGCCTTCCTATCAATTGCACTTTCCTTTCAACCCTTCTGAAACTCAAAGAATCATATGAAATTGCTCTATCTGAAATTAGAAATATGATTTTCACTTCCTTAAAATAGACAGGAATGAAGATTACAAAAGAGGAATATAGAGAAACAGGGAGAAAAGAAAAAGAAAGCAAAATAAAACAAAGATATTTATTCAGAAATGCATACAGAACAATGCAGTTTACTCATGGATAGAACATTTCTAGAATTAATCATAGAAAAACTCTATACAGTTGGCAACATATTTAAATAATAAGATATTAAAAATTAATGTTTTACTAAAATGTAAAACTGTTGGAGAATTCAACTATTCTCACCTGGGACATCAGTTCATCTTGATTGGTATACATGTATTTCTGAATGCCTCTATTTTTTTCAAATGAAATATTGTAATACGGTAACAATTTTTCGAGGCAATCTGGGAGCCAGCTTTGTGGTAGAAATTAATTGAAACACCCTTCTTCCCAATTTC